GGAGTTCTGGTGCTAGGGCGGGGCTATATAGATCATATAGTGAAAGTGCATTATTTCTTTGAAAATCTTCTTCTCTACTCCTGGGTATTATTGAAACAAATTGAATATATAGTTATGATAAGCAAGAGTGACTCTACAAATATTGTGAAATTCATAGCCCCAGGGTCAGGGGTTCTGGTGCTAGGGCGGGGCTATATAGATCATATAGTGAAAGTGCATTATTTCTTTGAAAATCTTCTTCTCTACTCCTGGGTATTATCAAAACAAATTAAATACATAGTTATGATAAGCAAGAGTGACTCTACCAAAATTTTGAAATTCATAGCCCCAGGGTCAGGAGTTCTGGTGCTAGGGCGGGGCTATATAGATCATATAGTGAAAGTGCATTATTTCTTTGAAAATCTTCTTCTCTACTCCTGGGTATTATTGAAACAAATTGAATACATAGTTATGATAAGCAAGAGTGACTCTACCAAAATTGTGAAATTCATAGCCCCAGGGTCAGGAGTTCTGGTGCTAGGGCGGGGCTATATAGATCATATAGTGAAAGTGCATTACTTCTTTGAAAATCTTCTTCTCTACTCCTGGGTATTATTTAAACAAATTGAATACATAGTTATGATAAGCAAGAGTGACTCTACCAAAATTGTGAAATTCATGGCCCCAGGGTCAGGGGTTCTGATGCTAAGGCGGGTCTATATAGATCATATAGTGAAAGTGCATTATTTCTTTGAAAATCTTCTTCTCTACTCCTGGGTATTATTGAAACAAATTGAATACATAGTTATGATAAGCAAGAGTGACTCTACCAAAATTGTGAAATTCATGGTCCCAGGGTCAGGGGTTCTGGTGCTAGGGCGGGGCTACATAAATCATGTAGTGAAAGTGCATTATTTCTTTGAAAATCTTCTTCTCTACTCCTGGGTATTATTTAAACAAATTAAATACATAGTTATGATAAGCAAGGATGCCTCTTCCAAAATTGTGAAATTCATGGCCCCAGGGTCAGGGGTTCTGGTGCTAGGGTAGGGCCATATGTATCCTATAGTGAAGGTGAATTATTTCTTTAAAAATCTTCTTCTCTGCCCCTGGGTATTATTTAAACAAACTATTAGTACATTGTTATGATACGCAAGGATGCCTCTTCCAAAATTGTGATTTTCATGGCCCCAGGGTCAAGGGTTCTGGTGAAAAGGGGGGGGGGCTCTATTGATTATATAGTGAAAAAGCAAAATTTCTCTGAAAATATTCTTTTCTGCTTCTGGTTAAAAAGCAATGAAGCTAAGTGTATAGTTATGATGAGCAAGAGTGCTTCTTCCAGGGTAGTGAATTGCATGACCCCTGGGTCAGATGTGCTGGTGTGAGGGTGGGGCTCTTGAGAATATAGTTAAAATGCATTAATTCTATTAAATAATCTTGTCTGCTCCTTAGTGTTAAGCAGATAAACAAAGTGATTACTTAAGATGAGCAAACTTCTGGTCCCAGGGTGAGAGGCTCTGGTGTTTCTTGATGGGGAGGGGGGCTCTATTGATAATATAATGAATCTGTAGTAAAAATGCATTATTTCTTTAAAAATCTTCTTTGCACCTGGGCATATCAGAGGCAAAAAGAGTAAAAGTTTTAATAAGGAAGGGTATTTTTACCAGATTTTTGAACATCTGGACCATTTGGTCAAGTGTTCTGGTCCCGGCTAGGGCTCTGTTAATTTGTAATCTACTGAGAGGAGTTATTCCCCTTTGGCATTTACTTTTGATAATTAATCCCTGTAAATAATGTACTTGAAAGGTTAATAGAATAAGAGAATTATGCAAGAATTTTTATTGTATAATACAAAAAGTACTTTCCTAGTTTTAATGATCAAGTAGACTTGTAAATAATAGATAAATAAAAATGAGACAAAAATAACTTGTCTTATTAAATGTTCATCAAAGACCAAGAGAGGCCAATGTAAAAGATTTCAACAAGGAATTAAGATAGTACAGAAGCACTGATAGTTTGTTAATTTACTGTATGGTGATAGTGTTAAATGGGGAACATATTAGAACCTAATTTATGAACTGTAAATGAATGGTAGACTAATTACATTTTTGATCCTGATCACTCTGTTTTTCTTGCTTTTGGCAACAAAGCTTCACCTTTCAGTTCATTTTATACTCTATGGATTCTCTAAATTGTTGTGTTGTACTCAGGTGACCATTAAGGCCCTTGGGCCTCTTGTTGGGTTGTGTAATGCCCCCGCCACTTTTCAGAGAGTCATTGAACAAGCACTCAGTGGATTACAATGGCATATTACCGTTCTCTACCTGGACGACATCATTGTTTATAGTCGAACATTTGACGAGCACCTGAAAAATCTTAAATCAGTGTTTGATCGCTTGAATTCAGCTAATTTGAAATTAAAAGCTAAGAAATGCAAATTCTTTAGGAAAGAAGTGACATTCTTAGGCCATGTTATTTCAGAAGAAGGAGTTAAAACAGACCCTAGTAAAACTGACACAGTTAATAACCTGAAAACGCCAACAAATGTCGGTGAACTCCGAAGTTTCCTAGGCCTTGTGTCCTACTATCGACGATTTGTTAAAGACTTTGCAAAAATTGCAAGATGCCTACATGAACTTACCAGCAAAAATAAGATGTGGACGTGGACTCAAGAATGTGATGACGCTTTCTGTTTGCTTAAGCGTAAGCTAGTGAGTGCGCCTATTCTTGGTTATCCAGACGTAAATGGAGGGACCTTTATTCTGGATACGGACGCGAGTAGTGATGCCATAGGAGCCGTTCTATCTCAAATTCAAGATGGAAATGAAAGAGTGATTGCGTATGGAAGCCGAACATTGTCAACAGCAGAAAGGAATTACTGTGTAACACGCAAAGAAATGTTAGCACTTGTGTTCTTCATCAAACATTTCAAACAATATTTACTTGGTCGTGAATTTACATTAAGGACAGATCATGGATCTCTAGTGTGGTTGCACAAATTTAAAGACCCGGATGGACAGATTGCGAGATGGCTGCAACAGTTAGCTGCATTTACGTTTAAGATACAGCACAGACCCGGGAAGCGACACGGAAATGCCGATAGTCTGAGCAGAATTAATGTACATGGAATAACATGCAAACAATGTAAACTGGATGTTACAGAGGAGTATTCAGGACCAATATATAATCATGTAGAACAGCTAAGAACCTTGCCTGTAAAAGTGAACAATAATGTGTATTCGCTTCATGGTTTATTTAATGACGACGTATCACCTGTGAATTCTAGTAGTGTCAGTGTACTAGCTAACCGACCTTTACGAGCAAGGCAAAAGTAACAACCAGAGGATTCCTTAACTTTGGGAAATATTAGGGAGGCACAGTTGACTGACAAGGATATGTTTAGATTTCTTAAATGGAAAGAAAATTCCGAATTTAAGAAACCACCAATTAGTTTGATTTCCTCATTAGGATTTGAATGCAAATTCCTATATGCTCGCTGGGAATTACTAACTGTGAAACAAGGCGTACTGTGTATAAAATGGATTGACAGTGATTGTAAGCGATTGCGGACAATGTTATGTGGAATTTCCATGATGCACAAACAGCAGGACACATGGGCGTCAGAAGAACACTGGACAAGATAAATAAAAGTCAATATTATTGGCCTCATCTCAGAAAAAGTGTACATGATTATGTGACTTCTTGTGATATATGTGAGGAACGAAAACATCCAAGTAAGAAGAAACGTGCATACATGAAAACTTATCTAAGTGGTGTGAAATTCGAGCGAATAGCAGTGGACATAGCTGGCCCGTTCCCTAAAACAAACAACGGATTTGTGTATATATTAGTGATTGCGGACTATTTCACCAAGTTTACGGAGATATTTCCCCTTCGCGATATTGAGGCTGGGACAGTAGCAAATATCATATTCCGAGGCTGGATCAAGAGATATGGCTGTCCCCAGGAATTACATTCGGACCAAGGTCTAGAGTTTGAAAGCCAGATATTCCAGGAATTATGCAAAATGTTGCAGATAAACAAAACGCGCACTACCGCTTATCATCCTCAGTCAGATGGAATGATTGAACGGTTAAACCGAACTGTGAAAGATGTGCTATCAAAGTACATTTCTGTACATCAAAATGACTGGGATAAATTTTTAGATGGAGTTGTATTCGCATATAACAGCACAGTGCATGATATGACTGGGGTTACGCCATACAGAATGGTATTTGGAGAAGAAATGAGATTACCTGTTGAATTAGTGACGGAAAATGTTAATCGGGAAGAAGAGCGTGTTTCTACACCTGCAGAATATGTGCGTACCCTGGAAAATTCCCTTTGTGAATTATACGACATTGTGAGAGATGTGACAGGAAAAGACGTATATCGTCAAAAACGTAATTATGACAGAAAAGTGCGAGAGGTAAATTACGATATTGGAGACCTAGTGAGGAGAAATCAACGGCAAATAATTAAGGGAACAAAATCAAAATTAGCACGAAATTGGACTGGTCCTTGGTATGTTGTGAAACGATTAAGTGATGTACTCTACCAAATTCGACATTCAAAAACTTCAAAACCCATAATCGTTCATACGGACAACTTAAAGCCATACCGAGGGAATAAACAAACCCCCATGACCCCGACGCAATATACAAGTGACCAGACAGTCAGCGCGACAGCGAGGAGGAAACGTTTGAAGTCGCCGGCAGACACGCGCCATAGTCTTACCCAGTCACTTACCCACAACCAATCAGAAGCCAGAACCAAGACTACCCGACATGGACGGGTTATAAAGAGGCCAGTTCGTTTCAGAGACAATAACTGACCAGATGATTTGTGAAAATTGTGGACAGTGTTTTTCGACTAGAAGTAATTTAAACCAACACAAACGCGAACAGCATGAAAACCATGTAGAGCCATACAAATGTTCATTTTGCCAGAGACTCTTTCTAAGAAAATTCAACCTAAAAAGACACTTGTTAGCAGTGCACCAATCTTCAAATGTTCAAGACATGGACCACAAAAGAAGAAAAGTTGAGAGAGCGAGATATGAAGAAATGCAGAAACCTGTCTATGTTCTTGGTCATTTATATGAAGACATCTCCAGTGATGAAGAAGATCGTAGTGAACCGGTGAACCAGTTGATCGATAGTGACGATTTAGAAGGGATATCTGTGTATTCTACAGACTTCGACTTCATCGACAACTTGACTCTGTTTGTGATATAAGAACCGTGATATCAGAGAACACAGAAGAAGCTGAAGATACGCGTCATGTGATTATTTCCGAGAACGCTGAAAGTGATGATGATTCTGCAGAGGAGACCGGATACCAAACAGATGTCAACAACAATTGTACGGTGACAAAGACAACCATTTGTTTAGTGATGAACCGCTCCGTACGACGCGACCCTTGCGGGACAGAAGAAATATCGCGGGATTCGCAAATCGTGTATTCAGAGGATATCGACCCTAAAGACATTGACTTTGCGGCGGTAGCCACAGACATTTTGGATGAAGTGCCAAAACATTTTAATGATGAACATGTAAATGTGAGACTTGTGAAGGGAGATTTATGATTTGGATGTATATAAAAGTTTTGTAAATAATTGTGAAAATATTTATTATTAAATGTGATTTTATATCATGTTTATATTGCTTTATGACAGGAAGAAAGTTTTGTTTATACTCTATGTTTCACTGGGTCAATTGTAATTATATTTTTCATGTCCATTGTTGTGTCAATGATGTTTTATAATATTTTTCCCCTGTAATTAAGATTGTGAATAGTTCCTTTTGAACGGAGTCAAAAGTTAAGTGGGGGAAGTTGTAACGATATTTAATTATTTCATTATGTTTGTTATATTTGATTCCGTTATTATATATTTAGATAGTCAGTTGTTTACATACCATTGCTCCTCGCGAGCAATACTAAATTATTATGTAATGGTCAAAACGCATTGCTCCTCGCGAGCAATGCCCCAATGTTATATACAGCAGACAGAGAGACTTGTAGTAGAGAAGTAAAGGAGTTGACACATAGGATATACGTTTAACATATTGTGGAAAATTTATGTGTTATTCTTGGATGTTGTTGTGATTTTAATATTATGTGTAAAAAGTGTAAATAAACTTTTAAACGAACTTCAGAGTATTTTATTCCGAGGATTGAAAATTTAGAGTTATCCCTCTTTGAACGCTACGGCGACGTTACCAGGGATGGGGTAATGGTAATGTGTAATGGTAATTGACAGTAATTAATTACAAATTTCGAAGTAATTGAAAGTAATGTGTAATTGGCCCAATTTTCAATTACATGTAATTGTAATTTAATTAATTACTTTTGAGAAAATCATGTAATTCACAATTACTTTTCAATTACATTTAATTACACTGGTGTTTAATAAATGAGAAATAGCCCCCCTCCCCTTTTTTCAAATCCCAAACACTTTATTCAAGAAAGGTTAACTAATTTTTAGGACAAAATGTTCTATAATATATTAAAAATATATATATTTATTTTCTTTATTTAGTGAATTGCTGTTTCCTCTTTAAAATGCATTTTCTTCAAAACTTTTTAATATTATTTATCTCCTTGTTTATAAATATATTAAATAAAATTAATAATTTCAATTAAGTTGTTTATGAATTGACACTTAAAATATCTAGTCCAATGGCTTCTAATCCTTTGTTTGCCATACCTACTGCTTGTGTAAGAAGTGATTAACAGGTGCTAATTAGTGCCCTAGGGTTATGTACATATTGACACTTAACTTAAATAGAGATTTTACACACATTTTGACCTTACCTATTGGTAGTTTTATATACATACATTGACTATGTCTTCCCACAAATCTTTTTTAAAATATATAGTTTGGTGTTATAACACCATGGCAGTTTTTCTATTTTAATAAAAATTTGTGGGAAGACAGTAGTTTAACACACAAAATGTCAAATACTATAATTTTTTGGGATGTATAGCTTAGCTAGGATGATGAAAAAAGCAGGAAACAAGGCAAAACGCATCCATTGTTTTGCAAAAATTATCAGAAAGCTTAAAAACGGACACATGAATAAACAGCATCCAGGTTCTGTAAAAGGGCCATGTCCCAGTTGAAAATTGGCTCTTTTTTCCCAAAGTTCTGGTAACAATTCCCAACTGATGGCCAAATTCAATTTTTTTTATGCTGTTTATGTATAGAAATAACGTGTTTTGAAATTTTAATCATTTTTAAAGATACCGGTATATATCATGTGTATATGGGGTCCACTAGTCCACTATTTAACTCTTTAATCAACAAATAAATATAAGTCAACAACATTTCCCAATTTTGCCACCTTTTCGATTAAAAATTCACAAGTAGAAGGACACAGGACCCTGTACCAAAAAGGGTCAATTAAGCCCTGAAACTTGCTATATTAGTCAGTATTTGTTTATTCCTGTCACAAATGTCCCAGTGTAAAATATCTTCATTGTGGCAGAAAAATCCTTTAACCTGATAGATGTAGGTTAGGGCACTTAGTGGACACAATATTTTAAAATTTCATTAACATCTACACAATGTTTACTTAATGTAAAAAATAGTAAATGAAAGTATATGAATAAAAATGAACGTTCATGACTATTTATCATTGTTTATTTTTATATGTTTTTTCCTAATGAAATTTGTAATTTAATTAATTACATTTGCAAAGTAATTGTAATTTAATTAATTACATTTCAAAATCCTTGTAATGGTAATGGTAATTTAATTGAAGGTTTGGGGCAAGTAATTGTAATTTAATTAATTACTTTCCTATGTAATTGACCCCATCCCTGGACGTTACAATTGTTATTTTCTTCAACATTGATCATAATGCTTTGGGAAAAAGTCCACATGAAGCTGTATTTATTTCCTATACATATAGCAATTCAATTTCTAGCCGACTTTTAATCGGAACAATTTAAAGAAATTGATACAATAGTAATTTTTATCAGAGACTACTTTTTCTGTATTTATTTGATCATTTGACAAAAAAAAAACATTATCATAATTTTTTTTAAGCAAAATTTTCGTGGCATCCCCTTCTTCCGTTTTTCCTCCTAGCATATTCTCTTGCTGTTAATTTAGCATAGAATTATTTATATAGGGGTCGTTTGCCCCACCCCCCACCCCTCCTCATTCGTTTTTATAGTAGGGGATTCGAATCTCCTGTGATACCAGTATCTATATCCAAAAAATGGGTTCTCCTTTTTAGTTTGAACTTTTACCGATTGCCTTTTTATTCAGAGATTTATTTATTTATTTTATTTTATTTTATTTTATTTTTTTGCTTGTCAATGATCTCTGCCCCCACCCCCATCCCACCCCTTCCTCAAACACACATTTGGAAATCGGCGCTTCACTCTGAGCTGGTCTAACTGCACATATCGATATGATTAACTTGGATTAAAATTCGAATGGCTAAATTTATACATTTTACATGAAGGTATCTTTTAGAATAAAGAAGCGAATATGTGCATTGATCTCTCGATCTCTCTGAAAAAAAAAATATATACGTATATATATATATATATATATATATATATATATATATATATATATATATATATATATATATATATATATATGTAGAATAACATTTAATATTAAAACTTAGTGTTCTTAACATGAGTCAATTTTAAGCATTTGTAAATTGCTCAGAAAACAAATATACAGTATCTTTAGTCATGCATAATATATAGACATCGCTATAAATCATCATAATTAACAATGAGTTCAATGTCGCGTTTAGACTAATTATGTGATATCAATTGAGTTAAATACTTAAATAGAATAAATAATAAATGTATGTACTATATTATATGTAATAATATTATTCAATAAAAATTTCCGTATCAAATTTCATATAATTTGATATTTTTCTTGTTACACCTGGAAATCCAATTTTTGTTCACAAACGCAGTCGACAAAAATCACTTCCGTGTTTACAATTATACCGAGACTTTTCTTACTCATTCCATATACTTCGATTTTTTGGCAAATGACAATAAAGCTAAAATTTTACTTTTAATCTGTAAAGACTAGTAAAACATTATAAAAAGTGATTTTATATCCAAATATCTCGGCTGAACCAAAGGTAAATATTTTTAAATGTCTCTTGCATCTGTGCTCAATGGAGAATTTCAAGGGGATGTTGGGGAGGATGTCCGCAACAATCTCTACACCCCCACACCGTGACACAAATATACACAGACACACACTAAAAATTCTTATAATACATCTTGATTTTGCTTGTATAAGGACTCTATAAATAAAGTGTGAACAAAAGCATGCATGGTTTTCGATATTTCAATTGAGAAACTTACGGAATTTCACCGAGTATACGGGAGCATTTTTCCTGGTGGGAGTAGGTATCTAAAATTGTTTTTTTTTTTTTTTTTTTTATATATATATATATATATATATATATATTTAATATAAAAGGGGATCATTATCCAATATCATATAAAATCGCTGGGGATTCATAGATATTTTAACAGAAATCCTGTATAAACGATAAGAAGTTGACCTCTCCCTGTTCCAACACCCCCCCCCCCCTTGTTCCAGTCAACCCACTTTTCGTTAGTTCTTGATCATACACAATTCAATCGATAAAAGGGTTCAATACAAATTTATATCGTGGGAGGTGGGGTAACTCAAATAAACGGATTATCTACAGTATATTTACATGTACATCAAGTACTAACTGACATACTGTATTACATGTACATTAAGTACTACTATATCAATGCTGCCTTGTGGGGAATTGTTTGTTCTTTAACAGTGAATCTTAATCATATGACTTCTTTTAGGCTAAATTTTTTTTATGTGTTTCCGTTAAGTCAACCATCTCTAATTTTTATCCACCATCCCTACTCCTTTTTTTTAGGCCAACTGTACAATGTACCACAAATATAATTTTTTTTTTTTTGCCTTGTGTATATTTTTCATTACATACAAACTTACATCTTCTATAACATTCTCCTCCTTTTGATAAACTTCGTAGTTATGATAAGCCACAGTAAGTTGTTTTCTGAAGCAAGCACAAATTCCTATAATGCAAATATATTAATAAGATCTGTATCTGGAATGTCCTGATAACATGGTGATCTTTCAATATAGACCAATTAACAACTGATTAAGTCTATTATATAAAAAAAAGAATATTTAATTTAAACATTAGCCTATGTCAATTTATTTAAAAGCTTCTTACATGTGGTTTTTATACAAAATGAATATTTGAAAACATTAAAATTTATACCTGTGCCAAGGGTTGTCTAACCATTCCCACTGACTGTCGTATCTTCTGCTTGTTGTTTTCCTCCAATTGCATCTTGCATTTTTCTCATGGGTTTATGAGTACATGGATTCCCACATGATGGGAATGCAAGTCAGACTTCATAAATTTTGTTTCAATATTTTACAAAGTGAATTTGACTTAAAAAATCTATTATTAATAAAGATCCATACATCATTATCAAGTTGAATGCTGAGAAAGCAGTGACTCATTATTTTCATTGATTGATTGATGACTTACTTTGTCATTCACACCTGAA